CCCCCCTTTTTGAAGTACTTCCCGAGAGTAAACTTCGGTCTAACATAACATTATGCTATAGTATATTCATGCCTGCATAGGTTGGTCTAGAAAGTGCTTGGTTGAGGAATGGAAGATTTAGAACTGTTTTCCCCAACCTTACTTTTTAAGTTATGTGCTTATATCTAAGTACAGTACAAGATCTATTTTTCCCCACAACAACAGTCCTATGAGGTAAGTTGGACTGAGAGGAGGTAGCTGATCCAAAGTCAGCAAGTTAACTTCCCTGGAGGAGGATAGACTTCAACCTGCATCTCCCTATTTGTAGTCTGACACCTTAAGGCAGTGTTTCTCCATCTTGGCAACTTTAAGATGGGTGGACTTCAACTCCCAGAATTCCCCAGCTAGCATGTCTACCCATCTTAAAGTTGCCAAGGTTGAGAAACACCGCCTTAATCACTACATCATACTAGCTCCCTAATTGGTCTCTCCAGGCTTCTATTAGTTTTAGCCACCCACAGCTATTGGCCATGTGATAGCAGTCTAGAGGATTTCAGTTTACGGAAGGCTGGTCTGAACTGCCCTTTGGACTATTCCATTTTGTTCTCATAGTCCTCACTCGTTCTCATTGTGGATTAATAGGATTTGTCAGAGACTGACACCTATGATTTTTGTTCTTTCTCATCTCCTTTGAAAACAGCTAGATCTTATGAGAAAAAAATTGAAGCTAGTTGTACAATTTGAAGAGAATGCTTTGTAATGAGCTCCCATAAGTGATGAACGGAAAGGGACTGGAAATCCGGATTAAATGGAGACAGGGCAGCATTCATATAATCAAATATACACATCTGCTTCCATACGTGTCTGTTTACTTCTGGTCTGTCAGTAGCTGCCTGGTGGAAGTTTTTAGGCGAAGCTACTTGGAAATAGTCTTGCCTTAGTTGCTCTCACCTTTCTGGTCATAGAGATGTTTTTAGGGTTGATATCTCAGTGATCAGCAATCTGCCTGTCTCTCTCTGATATAGCTCCTCTCTGATATAGCTCCACCTGCCTGTCTCTCTCTCATATAACTATGGATAAAAAAGCTTTATCCTTAAAAGATGGGGACAGGCGACCAGGGATAAATGCCAAACAATTAAGGGCAGTATACGGATTTAACTTGCAGGACTGCAGTTCCACGTTTCTTTCACAGAATATACTTCCTTCTGCTTGGAAATAACAGCTGTATTAAATCTCATCCAGGTGCATAGCGAGATCTTCGAGGTAAAAAAAGAAAGGAGTAAATGAAGTAAGACCGTAGATGAAACATGCATATTACAACAATACATTCTCTAAGCTTCAGCACTGAAAATGTTGACATTTGGGTTCCGGGAGACGAGACGAGACGAGACGAGAGGACCCCCCCTGCTCCTTTAACGCCAGGTCAGGCTCCCGTTTTCCGACGCAGGATGATGTTTTGGGTCACGCTCCTTCCGGCAGAAGAGAGCCCATCCAAAGAGTGTCCGATTTTCCGACCTTGATTGGTGGGCCTTTAAACCGGAAAAAAGCCAATGAGAAGTTTCCCTTGGTCCTCCCTGGCCAACCTGCTCCTTTTCCCCGCCTCTTCCTAGCCAATTCTCCGCCCCTGAAAAGCGGAAGGGCTTCCGTGCATGTTCAGCTGCAGGAGATGGGAAAGAAGAGTCGCTTTCGTGCTTTGTCTCCGGGGGAATCTTTCTGTCGTTTGAAGCTCCCCGCGGCTTTTCTCTGCATTTCCCCCCCAGGCGCCTCCTTCCGCCTTTGCCTGGCACCCTTCTGCCTTGTTTCTCTGCTCCCCCCGCTTCCCAGGTCTTTTCTCTGCATTTCCCCCCCAGGCGCCTCCTTCCGCCTTTGCCTGGCACCCTTCTGCCTTGTTTCTCTGCTCCCCCCGCTTCCCAGGTCTTTTCTCTGCATTTCCCCCCCAGGCGCCTCCTTCCGCCTTTGCCTGGCACCCTTCTGCCTTGTTTCTCTGCTCCCCCCGCTTCCCAGGTTTCCTTCCTGCATTACGTGATGGAGGGGCAACATATAATGGCCCAGGTCCATATCCAAGCCCCCTCGTCCTCTTCTGCGGCCGGGGAAGAAGCCAGGAGGTTGCCGAACCCCGTGCGAGTTGCAGCCCGGGAAAGAATGGCGGGAGGACGCCTGTTGGACAGTCACAGCCTGGATGGGATAAGCCAGGTATATGGTGCCTCCAAGAGTCAGGAAGGAAGGAGGGCCACTATATCAAGTGCCTTGGAATTGGAGGGAACTGTGAGTTACGACGGGGACCTGACTCATTTTGTGGCCAACAACCTGCAAATGAAGATCAAGATGAGCTCTCGGGGCAGTCTGGACGATGCGGAGCCCACCTCCTCCACCTCGGTGTCATCCCAGCTATCTGTCCGAGGCAAAACCGCAGACATACCTCCTGTGGACCCACAGGTCCTTCGGGATCTGGAAAGGCTCACCAGGGACGTGGCCCAGAGAGTGGACCAGATGTTGAGAGCCTTGAACAGCGCGATCCAGAACATGACGGCGCTCAGCGTGGGGTACATCCAAACCTACCGAGATGCTGTGGACAGTTTGGGTGAATCCGTGGACATGAGCATCAAAGGGATGTACACTCTGATGGCGAGGTGTGAGGAGCTGGACCGCTCCATGCAGCCCGTCCACATCCTTGCCAAGCAGATCCGGGAGATTAAGAGGAATCTGGAGATCTTTGAGGCAGTCTGCAAATAATGCCCTTTTTCGGAAGTGGTTAACTTGTGGAGTGGTGGGGAATGAAACGGGGGTGAGCATTTGACTTCCTGTGATTCAGGCTTTGAAAGGGAAACTCATGTTTTTCAAATTGTGAAATAAATCAATTATGGCAGTGCTTGTCTCCTGTTATGACATTTGCCCTTTTCAGTGTATACGAAATCCTTTGCAACCTAACCCAGAATTTTGGAAACTCCCAATAATCACCAGGATTCTTCCATCCATTTCTGCAGCTGCTTCCTCCCCACAAAACCTCACACTTTTGCTGTGTCACCTCTTCTAGTAACCCTGGTTACCACTATCAGTCAAAATATGACATGCAAGGCAGAAAGTGGCTTTTTTCAGGCTCTTCTAGTCAAGTAATTTCCGACTCTTTCCTTGCAGAGTCCCTTTTTTCATATTGTACCTAAATCTTGTCTGCATGATGTTGTTTTTGCATGATGAGAATATACTCTGAATCAAATTCTTGAAATAAATACTCTGGATTATCAGGAGACTTTATAGGGTTAGGATTTTTTTTTCCTTCTAATGCTATTTTATTTTTCTATCGTTTGTCAGCGGCTGTGAGCCGTTTTGAAACTAACTGATTACGTGCCATCAAGTCGGGGCTCTACTCTTAGCGACCGCATAGATACAGTAGTTTTTTCTCCAGGAGAACTGAGCGACATATAAATTGCAAACATAAATAAATAAAACCGTAACGGCATGCTTGTGCTAAGTGCACGAGAGCTGAAATCGGGCAAATGAACTGGGGAGGGGGGCAAGGCTCGGAGGTCGAAATTAAAGCCGCCTCTCTTCTACGAAGCACGAGGCGGAGGAAAAACAGTTTGAGGCGCGAGATAAGCCGAAAGAGCGTGCGTCCTCAGGGCTATTTATAGGGCTGCCCGAGGAGGGGGCGGAGTTAAGGGAGAGCGCGCGCCCTCAGCCGTTGGATGCCTTCCCCCCGCCTGGGAGAGGCGACAGTCCGCAATTGGAGTAGGGAAGTTCTCGCCAGAGGCATAGAAGAGATGCAGTTATTTTGGGGGGAGCCCGATAAAATAGCAAGAAACATTTCAGAAGAGTGACTCCTTAGCTTATGCTGGTGATTTTCCGCAGGTTGAATGATTCTGCTTCAGATTTTTCCTGAATTGGGGGATGGAACAGAGAGGATCCCAGTGATTTTGAATTATGCTGTATGCTTTACATACGATAAACAGAGCATGTTGTTTTCCCATAAACTACAGAATATAATATTTAGGACAGAGGAGAGGTAACAGAAAAGAAAAAAAGCAGATGAAACTGAGAAAGTACTATTTTAATTGCATGAGTTATCAAACAACCCTGCCTATGTTCACTTGGAGGTAACATTTATGGGGCTTTTTCATTAAAGCAGGGAGAGCAGCCTCCAGGCTGCTCCACCTGACTTCTACGCAGGGTGAGCTGTGCTCCATCCTGCACGGGCAAACTGATTTAAAACAAGATCAAGTTAATGGAGGTTAAGGCTGTCAGTGGCTGCTAGTGCTAATCATCAATGAAAGAGACATAATCTCCAATAATGAAAGCAATTCCCAGAAAGCATGAGTGTTTACCCATTTGGGGGCTTCCTGAAAGGTATCCAATTAGTCCCTGGAGGAACAGAAATGGCATTCTCTCTGTAGATACTGTTTCTAAGAAACTCAGCTGCAGAAGATAATAACTCAAATACTCATGATGGAAATTTAAAAATGAACTTCCCTTGGAAAAGAATTCAAAGCGCAAACATGGCTCTCTCCTTACTCCCCCCTAAATGTCCTTCTATGGACTCCTAAGAACATTAGATCTTGTTGAGATTAGGAATCATAAAATCATTTTAGTATGGAGCAGGGTTCATATGGGACAATTTCCTCACCCCAGTCACTGAGGGGGTTAAGGGTCACATACTCTGAACTGAACCCAGAACAAAAAAGAAAACCTGTGTAGAAATTTCACGAAGACAATAATTAATAATAATCTGTTTGTTCAATTTGTGTGACCACCCATCTCAACAAGTGACTCTACCGAGAGTAATATCCTCCCTGTACCTAGGCCCCATCCACAATTAAGCTGATGCATTCTGGACCAAGAGCAGCTTCTGAGTATGTTTCAAGGGTGCTGCTATAGTGATGATGATGATGATGATGATGATGATGATGATGATGATAGTAATAATTTATTAAATTTATATGCTGCCTGACTCCCAATGACTCTAAGTGGTTTACAATTGTTAAAACATTAAAAAAAAAAGAACAATAGGAAAAAACCACAAAAACAGCACAAGACAAAACAACAAAGATGGCAAAGAAAATAAACTCAGAGGGGAACACAAAGGAAGCAAGTGCATTGCAATAATCCATAGATGATAAAACTCAGGTGTCTGCAGAAATAGGTATGCTTGAAGCCTCCACCTTTGCTTGTCAAAATGCCCAGCCATGCCACAACTTAGGCATTGTAGGTCAAGGCTGCTGAACCCAAAAAACTTCCCAACTACAAGCAAACTTTTCAGGGGGGGAATTATTCAAGCCAGTACAGTACAGGTTGAGTCTTCAATCCATAGTCAGCACCTCGCTTTTGTGGCCATTCTGTCTGTTAGCCCAAATCCAGGTTGCTGTCTCACATATGTGAGAAATGATAAAGGTGTTGTGAAGGGTCAGAAGGGGGGGCGGTAACCCTGATGCAGGCTCATATGTGAAGTTCAGGCCATACCAACGCCATTTTGGAGAGGAAGCAGGGCCATGCACACGTGGAGGAAATGGCATGTGAACACCCATGAGCCGTTAGGGGCACAGCACAACATCAAACACCCGTGGCTGGAATGGCTGGTAAGGACGTGGGTAAATGTGCTGAAACACTTGCAAGAGGGCCCACAATGTGGAAAACAGGATGTGTGAAACTTAGCTATAAGCTCAAAATAGCTTGCACCCACATAATAGGGGGTCTAGCAACATAGAGCACATTCCAAACTATAGTGGGCAGCCAGCAGTGGACCCCACAAAGAGCAACATGCATAGTTGTGAAATTAGGTGCAAGTGTGCCCACCTCCCAAGGTTGGTGTGATATTTAGCTTTAGCAACATATAATCTCAAGTTCCTAGTCCTCACTTGCTCTGGGGATTGCTAACATGAAATATCTTCGCCTAGCTCGCTTAAACTGTGCAGAGGATGTGGTTACAGAATGTGGTTAGGAGCAGGAGCAGGTGCTGAAAGCTCATGCATGCTCAGGAACTGTGCTTGGGAGGGGGAGTTGGAGAAGTTTAAAAACTGTAACTAAACTATGTTCAGGGCTCTAGCCGCCTTACAGGCTGGAGTCCTTTTGTTCTGGTACCTTAATAAAAGCAACCCTTTATTCTGCGCCTCGTGTTCGGATGTCTTTTGGCTTCGACACCAAGCTCAGACCCATTTTGTGGCGCAACAGTTGTTTTTGCAAGTAAGCTAATTTGACCGTACATGCTAGATGAGCAACTAGTAGTGAAAGGGGATCTCTCAGGCCCCTGATTTTCTAAGCAAAGCCTATATAGTGACACCATCAAGTTACTGGTCCTCAATTGCACAAGGGGGTCTGGATTGCTTAAAATGAGCAGAAGAAATGCAGAAGATGTGCTAATATGTAAGGAAGCCTGTGTACATGAGTCTCTGAATAGAGAGCTAACAAACCGACCTGAGTTGGTTTTGTAATAGTTGCACAAGCTCTAAAACCACCTCGCTGAGCACATACTGCTAACGTCGAAAACTGCCATAGAAGGAAATAAATAAATATGGGAGAGGGGCTTCTAAAATAAGGGTAATGGGAGATGTAAACAGGGGCGGAGATTCACGTGGGTAATTTAGGCGCTTCGGATAGGTTGTAAACTCCTGAGTACCTAACCAATGGGGACATGGAGGAGGGTCTTTTCGCTCGGGCATAGGTAATAAAAAGTGCCCGCATCTTATCCCAGGGTGTGCCTACTTGTTGGACACCCGCTGTTGCAAGAACGTCCTATTTCAATAAATGGCCATGTCTTGCTGCTTCAGTGGATCTTTGTCTTAATTCTTTGGAACTTGAGGTTTGTTTCTCACACATACAGAACATGAATGCACATCATGGATGTTAACCATGGAATTCAGGATTCCGCCAGAAGAAGCGAACTATTTTAATACATTCTAATTTTACTATGTTTTTCTCAATTAGCCTTCCTTGCAGGTTGACAGTTCTTTACTTAAAATACTGTTTCTAAATCTTGTTTAAATACTATATAAATACTGTAATTTGCAACAGCAGTAACACTGAATCAACTTCCACGTGCCCTAAGAGGCATCTTGAGTGGACGTGAAAAAGCAACGGACGGACACGAGATTACCAGAATAATGCTTAACAAAATAATAGCATAACCTCCCTTTGAAATAAAGGACCTGTATTAACTTCTGTAAAACCGCTGGGAATAAAGACGTTTTTCTTAACGAGGGTCGCGCAGCAGCAGCACTCGGGGAACGGACTGAGTTAAAACAGTAGAGCTGACATGATGTGTGCTGCCTAGAAAGGACCAGAAGGAAGTACGGCTGTAGAAGGGTCTTAATCATGAAGGGACCTTCCTGTTACAAGCGGATCTCTATAGCTAGGCACCTAGCAGCCTCCCTATGCCCACTCTTTAATGAAAACAAAGCCAGTGGGGAACACGTCAGGGAGACCACACCAAGTAACAAGGTTTGGCATGGCTGCGCTAGCAGCATCTCTGTGGACAGCCTGAGAAGAAGATGAAAGGGCTGTGAACATGTGGGAGTCAAAAGAGCAACCTGGTCAGGAAATTGTAATGACAGCAATTGGGGTGGGAGAAGCTAAGGAGAAAAACTCCGTTCCAGCTCATTCGCGGTATTTTTATTGTGCAACATAGTCTTCGTTTGTTAGAGGAATGGCTTTGAAATAAGAGATCGATGGTTTTGGTGAATACAGTACTTTAAAAAAGAAAAATAAATCTGTTATGCTAGAGGCTCAACTCTGTCCTATCAGACTGAGTAGGAATGTAGTTGCATAGGGAATAGGAGTCTTGTTTTTAATGGTTTGGATTGATGAAAGATGTGTGCTCTATAGAATGTAAGGGAATTTGTGGGTGTGAGGAAACTGTGGCAAATATGTGTATGTGTGAGAGACGGAGAGCATCATTTTTGGGACTCTAGAGATACACTTTTTTTTTTTTTTGTTGAGGCAGAATTTCACAGACATCTGCATTCCTCTGTGCTATACAGATCTGTTTCTTTTCCCAGAATCAGGATTCCTCAGAGTTAACTGTTGTGATTTTCCCATATGGAAAGTGGAAAACAAGCATATGTTCTGGACCTCCAGGGCTGTAGTGAAGGAAAGACATTAAGAGGTGAGGAATAAATCAAACATACATTGCATAATAAAAGTGAGCTGTGAACTTGGAATTCTTATTTCAAAACTCACTTTTAGTTCATTAAATGACCCGAGCCTAGTCACAATCTCTTAATATCTTTTTAAAAATATATTCATATTGCGTATGAATCCTTATCCCAGATCTGCCATAGAAGAATGTTGGCATAGATCTTGGATTCTGGTAATAGGATTTAAATCAGGTCTATCTTCTAAATGTTGAAGGTACTTCTAAGCTTTAATCAGCGTACTTGCTTTTAACACGTTGCTGCTTAAAAATATTTTATTGGGGCTGCTGCTTTTATTTTGTTAAAAGTTATATATTTTAATTTGTGTGTTCTATTGTATATTTCAGTTGTTTTGGAATGTTGTTTGATCTTACTCTGCTGTAAGCTGTCCTAGAAAACCTGAAGGATGACATAGAACTTTAATAAATAAACACATGCTCACCCCCTAATACCTTGATTCACAACCAGAATCACTTTACAGTCATCTCTCTTCTTAAGTTTTCTTTAAGACTTCAAATATCAAATTCTCCATTAAAAGCAAGCCAACAATAAAGCAAGCCAACAATAGAGTCTGCAGTTAAAGTTTGCAAGGACAATAGAGTCTACAATTTGGCTATAATATATTGTATGTATAATATACATGTATATTATATAATATATTGTTGTATAATCTATACAACATCTATAATATATTGTATAGCCAAATACAACATGGCTATAATAACATTGCTATCTATTAAGGTTTTGTAGGATAAGCATTATAAAATTTTTTGACCAAATCTGGAGCCTTTACATCGTTCTTATCAACCCATTCTGCCAATGACTTGGGAAAATGTTTCCAATGGATTAAAAATTGAATCCCCCCTCTATGCTTCCTACTGTCCAGGATTTCTTTAACTTTGAAATGCTGCTCCCCTTCGACCATAATGGGTTTAGGTGATGATGGAGTTGGGTGCCACTGAGAAGATTCTTTGTACGGCTTAAGTAGATCACAGTGGAACACAGGGGAAAATTCCAGACACTTAGAACACTATTTAACCTAAACTCTTTAACTTCTTTGTTTTGTTACATAGTACAGGAAACAAATTTTTCTGTCTGGCTTTGTCTCATAAAGACATATGCTAATGACTATGAATAAGACTGAAAATGAAACTCTATGCTGAAATTATTCACTGACTGATTTTTTACATTATCATTTTTCAGAGCTGAATTCTGCTTCATTTCAAGTCTTATAGAGATTCTTCTAGATGTAGGTGGACAATAACATTTAAATTTTCAAAGATTTCTGTGTTTTACCAGGATTCAAGAGAATCTATGTTCAGTTTTTATATCTTAAATGGGAAAATCAGTAGATAAACTTATGATCTAAATTTACATATCATCTTAGCTGGTATGGGTTTGTGGCAGTATAAATCAGGAATGGACTTGATTCAAAGAAAAATTATTTTGAGTTTGCTGTCAATTATTTTAAGATATATAATCTGCTTTCCTTAAAAAAAGTTTGAATTTATTTGGCCAGAATGAGATAAAAATTTGTGATAATAATTGTTCTGACTGTAGGCATTGAGATGACAAATGAAAACAAGGAAGAGGAAGCAGAATCACAGAACAAGCAGAAAGAAGACAAAGAAATGCAACATAGAATCTCTCCAGAGAAAGGAGTTATAATAGAAGACCATGGAGTGGAAAGCACTCAGCTTGAGGCCTGTAATGGAGAATCTATCATATCTCTGGAACAGGAATCTACAGATAATCTTTCTGACAATGACAGAGTGCCCAAAGCTACCATTTGTCCTGACTGTGGGAAGAGCTTTAGTAACAGCTCTCACCTAATCCGTCACCGTCGCGTCCATACAGGTGAGAAACCGTACAAATGCCCACATTGTGACAAAAGTTATCGCCAAGACTCTCACTTAGTTCAGCATATGCGCTCTCATACAGGTGAGAAGCCATACCGGTGCACACACTGTGGTAAGGGCTTCTCACAGAGTTCCAATCTCATCATCCACCAACGGACACATACAGGTGAACGACCCTTTACCTGTCCAGAGTGTGGGCGGAGTTTCAGCCATAGTTCTGATCTCATTCAGCACAAGCGGATACACACAGGTGAGAAGCCTTATGTCTGTTCCATCTGTGGAAAATGCTTTTCTCAGAGCTCAAAAGTTACCCAACACAAACGCTTCCATTCAGGGGAACGTCCGTTTTCCTGCGGAGAGTGTACCAAAACTTTTCGTCTCCGTGCTGATTTAGTCCGTCACCTCCGCGCTCATACTGGTGAGAGGCCTTTTGGTTGCCCTGAATGTGGAAAACACTTTGCTGAGAGCTCCCATCTTATTCGACACCAGAGGATCCATATGAGTGAGCGTCCCTTTCGCTGTCCAGACTGTGGGAAAGGATTCAATCAGAGCTCCAACCTCCAGCAGCATCAGCGGGTGCACCGAGGCCAGAAACCCTTCAAATGTGATGAGTGTGGGAAAGGTTTTGGTGTAAGCTCAGCACTCCTGCAACACCAGCGCACTCACACAGGTGAACGACCCTACTGCTGCAGCCAGTGTGGGAAGAGTTTCAGTGTCAGCTCCACCTACCATATACACCAGCGTATTCATGCAGGACAAAAGCCCTATTCATGTGCAGATTGTGGGAAAGGGTTTGTGCGTAGTTCTGCTCTTCTTCAACATCAAGCAACTCACACTGGTGAAAAGCCCTTTCGGTGTCCCTATTGTGGAAGAGGTTTTGGACAAAAATCAGCACTTTCTCAGCATCGGCGAGCCCATGTGAGAAGAGGGGAGACATTGACTTTGATGGAAGGATGGGAAACTACTGGGATGGAAGGTGTTGGGGACCAGCGAGTGGGAGGAGAAGCAGACAGCATGTGGCAAGGGAATGGAATAGGGATTATGGAGCCAGAGTGGCACGGTGAAGGAGATGAGACCACAAGACAGGAATGGGAGGATGATGGTGATGAGGCCATGAGGGTGGAATGGCAGGATGATGGTGATGAGAGTCCAGAGCAACAGTTGCAGGATGATGGCAGAGAAAGTATGAGGCAGAACTGGAAAGATGGTGTGGAATCCTCCCTGAGGACAGAGTGGCAGGATGATGAGGATGAAAGATTGGAACAAGAATCACAAGATGATTGTACTGAAAGCATGAGGCTGGAGTGTCAGGAGGAGGAGGATGACGATGATGATGATTACAGGAGGGTGGAGGAGAGTTTGCAGGATAATGTGAGTATGAGACTAGAGTGTCAGGATGATGATGATGAAAGTGTGGAAGAATATGTACAAGATGACAGTAATTCAGACATGAGGGAAAAATGTCAGGATGAGATCACAAAGCAAGACTGGCGGGATGATAGAGATGAAAGCATAAGGGAAGAATGGGAGACTACTATAGATAATTTAAGGCAGAAGCAATTAATTGTGGAACAGGAATGGCAGGACAGTGAAGATGATAGTGAGAAGCAAAGTTGGCTAGGAGATGGGGAGGACAGCTTGGAGAGAACAAGGAAAAAGTCAAAGACAGAGTCACCCTGCTGAAGCTGGGGAGCTTAAGAAATTGAAATGATTGACTGGGATATAGTAGAAGAGAGTAGAATGTCTACAATGTTCATATAATAGCCAAAACCAGCAAGCCATCGAAAGACATAGTGGACAAACAGCAGAACCATACCTTGATGCAAAGTGGTCATGTCCTTCTGCAGCAAATATAGCTGTATTTATATTTGTAGGATATGCTGTGGTGTTCACTCTCCATTTGAACATGTTCCTCACTCCCAGTACCTGCATGTCTGTGCTACATAGCACTATGTGGTGGCTGCCTCATGGTCCAGCTCCCTGTATCATTCCAAGTCTTGTGCCATTCGCTGATCAAATTAATTCCAAAGGGTGATTTTATTCAGTCAGTTTTTAAACCTTATTCTACATATATACATGGTGTATTATACTTCCCAATCCAAGTTTTGTTAAAAAAATAAAGTTTCAGAACACAGGTAAGGTAAGATGCCTTTTCATAAATAAATGGATGCCTTTCCTTATAGTGGGGGCAATTCTTGCTGGATTCCAGGAGTTGATTTGGGAGAAATGGTACTACATTTCAGTCTTTGAAATAATTGACTTAGGAGGTTGGGATTTGGGGGTGGGGGGCAAAAAAAAAGATAATATGGTGGTTTTATTTTCACAATTTTTATTTAGGAACCCAACAGAATGTGGGGACACTGTAAGACTCCAATATTTAACTAGAACAGCTTTTTAAACTTCTTTTGCATGCTCTGGATCTCTCCCAATTGTAGTTATTTTTGTAATATCCTAACCCCTTGCTCTTTTCTGTGTCTCCCTCTGATGAACTAATAAATGCTCTTTTTGATTCCACTCAAGCGCCTTGCATGCTTTTAAATTGAGTCAGGGTTACTACTCAAGTTAAAATATTTCAGATCAGTTTCAAGATATGTTGCATATGATTTGGATGTGTGAACACAATTTTTTGTGAATATTGTTCCAAGCAGAATTGAATATATACATGTGTATATATATATTCATACATATGTATATGAATATATATATCATTCATATATACATATATATGTATATGTATATATGAATGGCTGGATAGCATAGTGGCTAAAGCGCCACCCTTTTATGTGAGAGCCCGGGGTTTGAATCCCAGCTGGTACCTACCTTACCAGGAGGGGTCCTTGGGCAAAGACCCCCTAATACTTCACCTGCCTACCTTGGATATGAGAGTGACATGAACTAAGAGTTATACCAGTACGGACGTTGTCCAGATTAACAAGGTCTGTGCCAGATGTTGGGGAACCAGGACAATCTAACAATAAGTGGGCTACTGGAACAAACCATACATGGATGAGACAAGAGAACCTGGAATTGATGGAATGCTACTATAAAAGTAGATCTAATGAGAGGGGATATATAAAACGCATTAGGGTACTATGGATGGACACAAGACCTACATCCCTACTAACTGAGAAACAACTAGTTACCCAATGCTTCAACATAGTGAAGAGCAAGCTGCTCTCAACTTGAGATAGACCAGCTATACATTACATCCTGGACTCAAGAAGACCCGGAAGAACAACTGGATGTGCAGCCAACACCTGAAGCTGGAATGTCCCTGCCACCCCCTCTATTAAAGAGCACAGCAGCTGATATGAGGCATAAGATCATGGATAAACTAGCTACAGTCATCTCTCAAGACCACCTACTGAGGCTCAGTGGAGAAGTACCATCAGATAGTATGCTAGAAGATGCCAATAGAGTCCTCATGACAATCCCTACTATCACCATAGCTCAAACCAATGAACTGGTATATGCTACAGCCGCTGTAATCTTGGAGAAGCTTGGTTACACAATCAAGAAGAACAGCAGTACATACCACTCCCCCTGGAAAATGAGGTTGGAGGCTAAGATCAAGGCAACTTGGAGAGAAGTTAGTCAGCTGATGGAACTACAGAAGGATGTGAACATTAAGGATAAGACTCAGCGACTGAAAAAATACAAGGGCCTGACTCTATCTGAAGCCCTGGAGACTGCTAAGGAGATACCAAGAAGAGACCAAGAAGATAAATGCCCTGTTCTCCAAAGAACCATCCAAGGTGTACTCTCAACTGCAGTGCAACAACACAGTAACAGCAGA